CACCAGAGGTCAGTGTGGTTTAACATAAGTTGCCAAGATGGCCACAAATTTAATTTGTGGAAGAGGACCATCTCCCTCTTATTTTTGCCCATTATTTTTACCATTTTGCTTGATTTCAGTAAAGACATTATCCAGCTGAAGTGGGTAGTTATGATTGCTTTTCTATGGCTACCTTCTATGCTTATACAGAAGGTTGTAATTTAGGGACCTTGAGTTCTCTCAGATAGAAAAGTATTGTGTGATTATTCTGCATTTTACTCCTTAATGAGTTTTTTTCTATAATAAACAAAAAGATAGGAAAAGCAATAGAAAAGAAGGCAACATAACAGATTAAACATGACAGTGCCTGGATACTTTATAAAATTCTTTAAACAAGGGAAGGCTTAATAAAAACCTTGTCTAGACTGAAAGCATTCCCTGTCTTACAACTTATGATTAACAGTCGCTTTTTAAAAATTATGCAAGTATAATAAATATGCATTTTTAAAACTTTAATTGATGCTATTAAAAACCAAAATAGGAACACAAGAAACAGTGTAGCATTTGATCATATCTATGTTGTTTTCAAGGCGTCATTTTGTATTAATAAATTGTCATAATATATATATAGTTTTTGTTTTCAATTAATTGGCCTGCCTTCTTACAGAAAGAAAGGATAAGTGCAAAATTTATCAGTTAATATAATTATTGAGAAACCAAGGCAAGATATTGGTTATAAAGCAGGTATTTTTGCAAATATGTCTTCAGTTCATTTCCTTCCCTTCCTCCCTTTCCCATCAACAAATCTCACCAGACCCAGTTTTGTATTATTGGCTGAAAGTTTTGAATAAAAGAACAGGTGAATTAATGAAATTATAAATTATTATAACAAAATACCTTAACTCACCAAGACCTTGGTAGGAAAAAGGCGTGATAGGAAAAAGACTAAAGACTGAGAAAAGACAGAGTAGAGATTAGGATAATATATGGGTGTTCAGAATCAAACAATAGTTAGGATTATATAACAAGATAGCCTTAAACCCTATTAATGAGTTTATATAACATGCTATGACCAACTATGGTATGGTTTAATGTGAAGATCTTGTTCATGTTAAGATTAGGGCAAGACTGTAGATAGATTTCTATAACACAGTGAACCACAATCTCCCTGATCGTATTTTAAATTAGTCCATTGTGTATGAACCCAGCCACTGAACATATTGGTTGGGGAAAATTTTCTGGACAACATAAAAAACCATTCCAGGGAATAATTCAAAGCAAATTGCATGTGGCAGACATCTTATGAAAGCATGTAAGACAACGTAAAAAACTGCAAAAAGGTAGGGTGATGCTAGTCTTACTATATGTCAGAGTTGCTGGCCATGAACAACTTGTAAAGTAAAAGCAGAAGTTCGTGAAAACATGGAAATAGCTGTTCATCAGTTGGTTCCAAATTGACATAAACAGAATGGGTTAGTCAAATAATTAGTCTTAAAACCAGATAGAGCAAGATAATAATAATAATAATAATAAAATAACCAAATACCACCAGCTGCAGACAAGACAAGAAAAAGATTTTGAAAGTGGGTTTGTGTCATGGCAATTAACTGCTCAACAAAGAGTTGGATCAGTTAGCTATCAGCACTTGGGAATCCTTGGTCTTATTCAAAAAATCTTATTTGAATGCAACTTCAGTACACTCATTATAGCATCTGCTCACAACACTATGCTTAACATCCTTCTAACACGCAGAGGAAGAAAAACCATCGGCAGAATAAACTGGAAGTGGCATGAAAGAGGAATCTTGGATTATAAGACACTTTGTGAGACCTATTTGAGGACAGGTTGTATTTATCCTGCCCTGCCCTCTTTAACACCCACTAGCAGCCTAGACTCTAAATTCCTTGAGGCGCAACTGAACAAGATCTTTTATAATGGATTGCAGTGTGTTCTTGTATATGGAAGGAAAGATCATAAGCAATATTTCTAACCTTACATTTAAATCAGGGGTGTCAAAGTGCCGGCCCGCAGGCCGGATGCATCATGCCAAAACCGCGCCCACCCCAATGCCGGCAATGGAAAAAAAGTTGTGATACGTCGCGACACGTCACGTGACATGGCGAGTTTGACACCCCTGATTTAAATGATCTTTCTTTTATTGCCATGCTTAATATTGAATGGTGCCATTTTCTGCCACTCATATCCTGTCCCAGAGATGGCTGGTTGGCATACCCTACATGCAATTTGACAGCAAAGAATAACCAAATTGAAGAGCAAAACAAATTTAGGGAAATATGAGTGAAAGTAAATAAATGTGGTTGCGCTTCTTTTAATCAAGATAGGAAAAACATCAGCTACAAAGAGAGTTATAACTAATTATTCCTCATAATTCCTGATATAGTTAGGACAAAAAGGAGACAAACAATAAATCAAATGAATAAAGAAAGATACAAAAGATCTCAAAAACAGCATCAGTTAGAAATTAAGATGCATGTATCTCCCCCACAAGAAGGAATATGTAATCTTGAAATATACAATTTACACAAGTTTACTACCCCAACTGGAATCTAGCTAGGGATTTATTAATAATTTTACCTCTATTATCATTGAAATTAAACTGCGCTAAAAATCATTTTATGTCTTATGGGGACAGCTTTCAGTACTTAAAGTGAGCTATAGATGAGATACATATAGATTTCATTTACAAATTATTGTCAATTTTCTTTCAGTACATATGAATTTTTATGTGCAATTTTTCTCTTAAAGAGCAAGTTGCAGTTCAGTTGGATATGCAGTCAGAAATCTACTGTTTTTCAAAATAAGAAACTATGGGGTGTGTGCCACATGGTAATGTTCTGAAGAAAACAGAGCAAAAAAATACAAGATTATTTATCAACACTGAATAGGACTGAATCAAATTCTGCTTCTGTGTTTCTTAAAAGAATTTCTGGAAAAAGCCTTGGGGCATTCTGGTTTAATCAACTCTTTCCATTCTTATGAGAAATCTTGGCTCTAGTTTTGATCTCAAAAGCTAACCAAATTTATTTAAATAAATCTTTTGCTCACACAGACCAAGTGAGACTAAACTATAATGTATTGCATAGCTATAGAACAGCATTCCCTATATGTTTCCTCCAAGATCAAAAAAGACTAGAGACAGTAATTACCTTCGTTCTCCTAGGAACTAAATTAGCTGCAGTAAAACACCTTTGAGGCTGAAACTATTTATTTATTGCTATTCTGGTCTAACTGCCAGTCTTAAGAACTTATCCAGTTGATATATTTAAAAGAGAGCACACAACTCCATATTTTCTTATTCTCTATTTCTTTTCTCATTCCATTTTTGTTCTTATTCTTTCTTTTTCTGCAGGAAAGGAATCTCACTCCTTCTCTCTATCTTTTCACTGAAGTTTGTCATTCATCCTCTCGTCATAATTTACTGTTTTAAATAAAACCTCATTTTTTCAACTTCTAAAATTATAAAATCATCATCCTATCATAGGATGTGTGCTGATTTTCAGAACCAAGGAGCCTGGGCTAAAGATTAGGCTCATTTCTCCTCATGTAGAGTCTTCAGTTTGGACTGGACCATACACCACTGTCCCTTCACAGTAACAAAAAAGGGAGAAAGAGAACTATATTACCAAAGTTATATATTAGTTTACTCAGGGCTTTTTTTGTCCTAGAACACCCAGAACGGAGTTCTGGCACCTTTTTTGGATGGAACCTTGTAGGGTAGGCAAGGCGGGTTGTATGATGTGTGTGAGTTCTGGCACCTTTTTTTTTTTTTTTTACAAAAATGCACTGAGTTTACCCTAATGCTGTATTTAAACAACATGGCACTCAGAGCATATGGGTAATCATAACAATGTGACTTTTCTTGGCAGTTCTTAGCTGCCCAACAGTTGTTGATACCATATATAGAGAGAGATAGAGAGATAGATAAATAGATAGATAATATGATAGATAATCATGTTGTTTACCCACAATTTCTGCCCACTGCCAGCTAGAGGAACACATTTAAATGAGCAGATAATATGATATGCACTAAAAGCCAGCCGTGGCCATGGAAGAGGTGTGAGGGAAGAGCTAACTGGTATGCACGATGTATTCCTGACTAACCATCTGCTATGCTCATCATGTTGTCTGAACATACTGAGTCTTGTTGAATGTTAGTAGGAATTTATTCTATATTAGGAAAATAGTTTTCTGTATTTTCACCCACAAAGCTAGAGTAATTCAGGGCCATGTCTAAACCTGCAGTTTTCCATTAAGAATTTTTGATCCACATTAAGGAGATTCTATTGCAAAGATAATTACCAAGGTAAGGAAGTCATGCAATCTATCAAATGAGAATCTAAAGTCAGGGCAATACAGAACGTCAGAACTTGTGCAGAATATATTTTCTTGCCTAAACACAACCATTCAGAGAAGTTCAAAAAAATTGCTGCCCACAAAAAGATGCCTTAGCCTAACCACTTGCCCTTCTGTGGTACATGGTGGCTTTAGGAGAAAGCCTCACAAACCTCCAGTAGGACAACTGAGCAACAGGATCGGTGGTGAATTGACAGATGGTCTTAAAATTACATCCCAAAGCGTTTCAAGGAATATGCATTTTTCATCATAGCTTCTCCTATTGCACTTTTTGAGACAGGTTATGAACCCAATTCCTCCGGCTGCTCTACTACCTCCACAGCAAATCTTTCAGGAAGCATCGTGTTGGGGCATGATACCATTTATTTTTCAAACTTGGCCGTTCTCTTCTTCTATCAAAAGACTAGAGCAAGTGCATCTTAATGTGATTAAAGCATTGGTGCTACTGACAGCAAGAGACAAACATGCCCACCCCCACCCCACCCCCTTGGCTCAGGGTGGCCCTTCTGGCTCCAGGACTGTGCTAATGCTTCAGAATCATTTTGAGCAGATCTATTCCAAACTGAAAAATGAGTTCCTGAGGAGCCACCCTCAGCTTTAGGCCCTTAAATCAAACGCAAGTGCAATCCCATACGTGGGATCCTCGCTTAGAGGTGGGTGTCTTCCTCAAACGCCTCTCCCTCTTCATTCGTTTGCTTGCTAATCAGAACATCCCAGCTCTCCGGTCCATTAACAGCTCCCCCACCATTTACACTCGGCTTCTTTTCTTGCATCTCAGAGTGGCTATCGCTGGCTACATCCAAGGTGGGATTGTCATGGCAACCGTTTTCAACAAATCGTAGTTCTTCACCATGTGACTAGAAGAGAGGAAACAGGGTTGGGAGAGGAAAATGAAAAAAAAATGCATTTGGGAAATAAGGTAAACAACCAGGAAGCTTTTGTTTGGAAAAATATGACTTTAACCCATAAACCTGAAAGGACTCACCATGTTCTTCATTTTGGGCATGCGTCTCTGCCAACAGTTGTAAATCAGTCCCATAATAATGATGATGACACAAATTGAGCCGATAATAACCAGCACCACAAAGAGCTTCCCATAATCGCTGTGTGTCTGGCTGGGATGTGACTGGCAACTTGATGTAGTTGTATAGTTCTGAATTCCAATCTAAAAATGAATCGTTAAATACACTCAGTGCAATAATAATTTATTAAATTTATATGCTGCCCATCTCGCTATCAAGCGACTCTGGGTAGCTTACAATAAAATAAATAACAGCGTTAAAACAATTAAAAGGTTAAAAACATTAAAGAAATTGGGCATTGAAAGCTAAAACATTAATGTGAAATTTTTATAATACACATTCTTGCAATTTCTTCAGAGATCCTACTTCAACTGAAACGAGGCAGATGACTGGTGAAGTGCATGACTTGTTTGTTGGCAATAGTGTCCAATTTATGGAATAGCCTTTCCAGATAAGATTGCCTAGCAACAAATTTATGATCTGCTCAGAACCACATGAAGTCTTTTTTTAATTTTCCCTGTCCTTGTAAATAGGTTTTTTAATTGTTTTTTTTTCTATTTGAAATTCATGCTTTAACAGTGAAGCTAATTTCAATACCTTTATATATATATATATATATATATATAGTTCCTCCAGGCACTGGACTAGGTAAGACTGGAACTCAGCAGATGTATGGTTGAATTCTCTTTCTGGGTCACCACGAGATGTGGCCTTGCTGTTAGTATTATTGTTTTTTTTTATGTTTTACTGTTATGCTATGAACTATCTGGGATTATTGTATATAAAATGGACTGGCATATAAGTCTCTTAAATACTTATGTACAAACAGCATTTTAATATTGTGGGCCAGAAAACCTGTGTTACGATAAAACTATATACCTGCTGAAAATAAATCAATGAATTTTATTTGTTTACATTTTAAACATTTGCATTTTTAAGATATAACTGTTTTACTCTGGGAGATTGCCTCCAAGACTGTAAAACCATCAAGTCATCTCCTCCAAAGCTGAAGAAAGGGATCTGATTGTGAAAGATAAAAATTCAGCCACAGAGCTGCCTCCTAGACACCCAATATTAGCAATAGCACTTATTCTTAGATACTGCTCCATAGTGCTTTACAGCATTCTCTGAGCGGTTTACAGAATCAGCGTATTGCCCCAATAATGTGGGTCCTCATTTTACCGACCTCGGAAGGATGGAAAGCTGAGTCAATCTTGAGCGGGTCAGGTTTGAACACCTGGCAGTGGAATGCAGAGTCAGCCTGCAATACTGCATTCTAACCACAGCGCCACCACGGCTCGTGGTATTACTCTGTTTGAATTATTGTTGAATATTATTCTGGAAGAGCTATTATGAACTTTCATCCTGGGTACCATGGGGATGCTCTCTTCTACATGTTCATTTGCCTCCCCCTTTGTGTGTTTTACATTAAGGCTATAGTTGGGCAAAGAGGTTTAAACCTCAGCCGGTAGAAGTTCTTGAGAAGTGGGTATTTGACAGCCAGAAGAATTGGTAGTGTGATTTTATTGCATGTATGCTGCTAGAGAAGCATGTTTCTTCATGACAAGGTCATTGTTTCCCTCTGGACTTTGTTACAACAGCAGCAAATAAACATTTAGAGCAGGGGTAGTCAACCTTGGCTATTTTATGACTCGTGGACTTCAACTCCCAGAATTCCTGAGCCAGCTAAGCTAAGCTAAGCTAAGCTGGCTCAGGAATTCTGGGAATTGAAGTCCACGAGTCATAAAAAAGCCAAGGTTGACTACCCCTGGTTTAGAGAATCAGCCCTTTCAAGCAGTGAGATCACATTCAAATCACCATTTCTTGAACGTTTTCAAAGTTCAAGGAAGTGAGGTGCTTAGTGAGACCTTTTTCCTCTCTTTTTTTTTCATTTCAACAGAACTTTAGAAATAAATTATGTAAAGAAGCTTGGATTATATCTGTTCTGCCATCCATCTGCTCAATTAATTCCCCCAAAAGAAAATGGAATGGGACCAAGTTTGTTGTGATGGGAGAAGCTGGCAGAAAAAAAGACTGAATTGGAAAATGGCATTTTGGGGGGGGGGGGGAAACACCCTTCCTAAGGGAAAAAGAAGGAACTGCTGACTGCTTCATTCCTAAGCCCTCCTTCTTTCTGGTCACAGGGCTATAATCAAATGCTTGGGAGGGATTTCAGAAACCAGCTCTGCTTTTTCTATTTGTTTCAGTGGTATGTCCTTATGAGCTCAACTGAAGGCTCATTTCCAGTACACGTATTTTATTCAAAGTGACAATCAGCAGAAATGATATGTCATATTTAAATTCACAACACAACAAATTGGACCTTGGAAAAATGAATTTGTCCAATAATAGGCACTTTCAGACAGCTTATATTACTATAATAATTGGAGGGAATTGTCTGCTAATTCAATTTCTCTCACTTTAGTGAATGTTTTGGTGAACATGCAGGAAGGTTACAGGCTGAAAAAATGGACAACCATTACTAAAATTCCATGCCCAAGGCAAAATAATCATGTAATGAAAATGTCACTTGGAAGTATCCAATGAATTCATGACTATTACATATTTATGGATAGAAAAATTTGGATATAATACTACATGTAAATGTATGTTTTGTGATGAAATGTTTAACAATGAGACAAATCTGCTCTGTCTGTTTTAAAATATATTGAGAAGTAAGTTTTGAGGAACCGGGGTTGGACATTTTTTTTTCTTTTTTATGCCTTCATTCGGGTCTCTCCATCCATCCATCTCTTGATTGAGGATTTTTTTATATTTCTGGTCATTACAAAAAATCCTAAAGATTGTCAGATTTTGTAAAAAGTGCAAATTTCAATATAGCTATTGTTCTGCACAAACTTATCACCCTTGTATATCAAGAGGCCATTGCTTTGATATTGCTGAAATGTCCCATGAGAACAAAACCCTCTGATCTTCATGTGATCCCTTTCGAACTTTCTAGATTCTGGGTACAAAAACAAATTTCCGGTGGCGGAGAGGGTGGAAGAGAATGAACAAAGAGCAGAAGCAAGTGATATTAGACTTGAACTTGTAGAGGAGAGTCTGGAAAATGTTAAGGGTGATGTGTTGATTGCTCAATTTCGTGATATGGAGTTTGCAATCCGGATCCGTGGGCTGGCTGAGGATCCAAAGGAGAATTTAAGACAAGTAATCTCAGACGCACTTGGGGATGCTTTGTCTTGTGGTCAGGAAATTTATTTGGAAATAGAGCGTGTTTTTAGGGTGAACTCTTGGATTGCTCGACAAAAAAATTTGCCAAGAGATATAGTGGTCTATTTTACAAGAAAATCGAGACGTAACGAAATAATGCAGCTCTTTTACCAACAGAGATTTAAGATTTTAAATCAAGACATCATTCTTTTAAAAGAAATTCCAGCGAAAATACTCAGAGCGCGCCGAGATTATGCTTTTCTGACACAGGAGCTTAAGAATAGACAAATAATTTTCAGATGGGACATACCGGTGGGCATAATTGTAACATTGGCTGGCAAACGCTACAGACTTAATTCGATTAAGAAAGCTAAGGACTTTATGGCGTCTGTTTTACAATCAGAATGCCCACCCACATCCCAGAGGATTGATGTGGCTGAGCAAATGATTGTGGACTTCCTTTCTGCTTCCGTTCAGGAGGGGAGCCCAAAAGCTGATGGGAAGGAACAAAGAATTACGCGCGCAGCCCATAGACGTAAGGAAAAGGAAAGACAGATGACAGCCTGCCCTACAGCTGATAGCCTTACAGCTGACTGTCAGTTACCTGCTATTTCTGAGCCAGTAGGTGGCGCTCGACCTAAGATTTTTGTGAAGTCGTATGCATCAAGTATTGTCAGTGGACTGAAACCTGCCAATGTGTAAGCTTATATCTTGGAATGTGGGTGGACTTAATGTTCCCCACAAAAGACGTAAGGTCTTTCATTATTTAAGACATTTTAATAATGATATCACATGTTTACAAGAGACTCACATTGTGGCTAAAGATCAAAAATTATTATTGAACTCTAAGCTTGGAGATTTGTTTGCTGCACCTGCCTTAAAAAAGAGAGCTGGGGTTGCAATATATATTAAAAGACACCTTTCACCTACTTTAAAAGAAGTTGATAAAGAAGGAAGATATTTATTTGTGGAAATAAATTTAAATGGAAGAAAGTGTTTAATAATAGGGGTTTATGCCCCTAATCAACTTTCAGCTCAAAAGCAATTTTATAGACAATTACATCAGAAAATTGTGGTTATGGACTATAACTCTTTGATTGTTATGGGAGACTGGAATGGAGTCCTGGATACATTAAAAGATAAAAAAACAACTTCTAAGGATGTAACCCTTTCCAGATTACCTAAGTCCTTTTTTGCTATGAAGGAGGACTTAGAATTGGTGGATGTTTGGAGATCACAACACATGAATGAACGGGATTTTACTTTTTTTTCTCACAGACATGATTTCTTTTCAAGGATTGACTTTGTTTTGACATCGACTGACCTGCTTACTGACTGTAATAAAACTAAAATCTTTCCCAGAACTTTGACTGATCATAGTATGGTGTGGATAGAGATTGGCCAACAAAGGAAAAGGAAATCTTGGAGAATAAATGAAAATTTGTTTAATTATGAGGATAAAGTTAAAGTTTTGAAGGAATCTATGGAAGAGTTCTTTCAACTTAACTTGAACAAGGGGACCCCCATAAATATTGTTTGGGATGCTGGCAAAGCTTATCTAAGGGGTATATTAATTGCTATGAATAATGCACATAAACGTAAGCAAATACAGATTAGATTAAACTTGGAAAAAGAAATTGGGATTAAAGAAAAATTATTATTGCAACGACCAACAGATATTAACCTAAAAACCTCTATTAAAATGCTTAAAGATCAATTTAATTTGTTAATTGCTGATCAGGTGGCCACCAACTTGAAGTATATTAAACATAATACATTTGCTAATGCAAATAAACCGGGGAGATGGTTGGCTTACCAAATACGCAAGAGACAAAAAGCTAGACTTATATCTAAAATTCTGGTCAAGGATCGTGAGATTTACCAACAAGAAATGATTAAAAAGGCATTTACTGAATTTTACCTGCATCTATATTCTTCAGAGACTATAAATAGTGAAGATATTGATAGATACCTACAATCTTCATCTATATATAAACTTACACTGGATCAACAGAAACTTATGAATGAAGAGATTACTACAGATGAAATCTTAAAAGCAATTAAACAACTGAAAGCTGGTAAAGCCCCTGGAACAGATGGTTTGACAGCAATTTATTATAAGTCATTGTCAGCTGTAATGCTACAACCTTTAAAAACTTTATTTAATAGAATCATGTTGGGAGAACAAATACCACAGTCTTGGACAAGAGCTTTTATATCCTTGATACCGAAGGATGATAAAGAAATTTTGGAACTTAAAGATTATAGACCTATCTCTTTGTTGAATGTGGATTATAAGATTTTTGCAAAAAATTTGGCTAATAGACTGATGCAGATATTGCAACATTATATACATGACGACCAAACTGGCTTTATATCTGGAAGGTACATGAAGAACAATATTAGACAAATTGTAAATTTACTGGAATATTTGGATAAGAAGGCCTTTGATAAATTGGAATGGCAGTTTTTAAACAAAATGTTGGACCATATGAACTTTGGAGATCAATTTAAAACAGCTATAAAGGCGATATATCAAAAACAGAGTGCTCAAATAATTATAAATGGAGACCTGACAGAGCTTATAGATATACAAAAAGGTACTAGACAAGGTTGTCCACTTTCTCCTTTATTATTTGTATTGTCACTGGAAATTTTATTGTCCAGAATTAGAGAATCTTCAATGATTAAAGGCCTAAGGATTTCTGCTAAAGAATACAAACTTAAAGCTTTTGCGGATGACTTAGTTTTTACATTGTCTCAACCAATTGACTCATTGGAATCTTTGTTGCAAGAGCTGCATCAATATGGCAAGGTGGCTGGATTTAGAATTAATGTTAACAAGACTAAAATTCTCACAAAGAATATGATGGCTAAAGATAAAAATCAACTTACCCAAATATCAGGATTTGAAGTGGTCAATAAAGTTAAGTACCTGGGAATTTTTTTGTCTTCCTCTAACATGAAACTCTATCAGAATAATTATGAAAGACTGTGGAAATCAGTACAAAAGGATTTATCAATGTGGAAAAGACTGCAGTTTTCTTTGCTGGGTCGTATTGCGGCCATTAAAATGAACATTTTACCTAAGTTTCTTTTTTTGTTTCAGATGTTACCTATTTTAAAAAATGAACTTAACTTGAAAGAATGGCAGAGAGATTTGAATCGTTTCATTTGGGAAGGCAAGAAAGCGAGGGTTAAATTTAAGATTATTCAAGATGTTAGAGAACGTGGAGGACTTAAAGCACCAAATTTGACACTTTACTATGACTCTTGTGCATTAACATGGATGACGGATTGGATTAATTTGTCCAACAAAAGGATATTGAATGTTGAAGGATGGGACTTGTATTTTGGGTGGCATGCCTACCTTTTTATGCAGAAAAAGATTGACAAAACTTTTAGAAATCATATAATAAGGGCTGCTTTGTTAAGAGTTTGGCAAAAGTATTTTTTTAAGTTTGATGTTAAACTTCCAATTTGGGTGATACCATCACATATTTTTTTGACCATACCTAGATTTGTGGTGATGGAGGCGCCATCTTATAAAGACTTGTTATATCAGAGTGGTAGTGGTAATTTGGTGCCTCAAATCAATAGAAGTTTTGAAACAGAAAAATCCAGACTTTTCTTGGCTTGTGTATAGGCAAATTCAAGAGAGATGGCGAATTGATAAAAAGACTGCTTTTCCTATGGAAGATGGGAATTTTTTGAAACAAGTAAGGGATGATGCTAAAGGACATATCAGAAGAATATATAATGTTTTATTAGAATTGGATTCAGAAACTGAGCTAGTTAAAGATTGTATGATTAAATGGGCTCAAAATATAGGAGAAACAATATCTATGGATACCTGGGAGTTGATATGGGTCAGAAATGTGAAATTTACGCAAGCTCAAAATTTACGTGAGAATTTTTATAAAATGTTTTATAGATGGCACATGGATCCTGCAACTATGTCTCGCATTTATGAGAATTATAGAATCATTCAAATGAACAATTTTTATTAATATGGAGAAGTTGGATTGTTTATATTCAAAAGAAGCATAGAATGGTGGAATATAATTTAGGTTTTTAGTAAACTTGTTTTTCTTATTTTTTTAATATATTTTACCTACTCATGTAGACTAATATATTCTGTGGAGTTAGAGATTTTAATATTTGTTTGTTTATATCTGAATATTATCCTGGGATTCGGTTTGGGAAGTCCGGGGTGGGGGGGGGGGTTATATAGCATTGTGAAATATCTGTGATGTTTTTCTTTTATGTTGAAAATAATAAAATTTTATATTGGGTAGAGAATGAGAAGCCCAAAACAAAGTTTAGCCAATGAGGATTTCCTACAGACAGAACAGAAAAGTTCAATTACTGGAAACAATACAGCACCAATTCTCTGCATACAATGAGCAAGAATGAGATGCAGGCTTAATTTATATATTTATTTTTATATTAAATTTAGAAACCACCCATCTCCGTCACATATCAACTTTGGAGTTTTAATGTCACTTTAAAAAAATCCACAGGCTCTACAGTATCTGCTGGCAGGTCTAATCAATTGTAATTGGTCAGATAAACAGAACCAACAAGACCATATCAGATCTCAAGAAATCATGATACAATGCAAGAATACAAACCCACATAATCACTCACAGCTAATGAAAACTGACAATGTAGTGACAATGTAACCAGTAATCAACAGGCAGAAAAGAAGAGACTACTGTGCATGGTTGCAGGAGAAAATCAATTCATTTACCCTATACAGCTTAGCTACAGTATATAAGTAAATAAGGTCTTACCTCAGCTAAACTTTTCTGCACATCACCTAATGCCAAGAGGACATCATTTGTTGGAACAACCCCTAGGAGATAAAATGTATCAGATTTTTTAAAAAATGCATTAATTCAGGGTACTGTTCTTCTGCTTGCTTTCTTGAGTAGAGAAATATGTCTACGCTATACCAAAGCATTATTTCCTGTTTAAAAGTAATAATATAATTGTGAATACTATTTCAGTGTAGAGTACTACATATGTTTTAGAATTCAAAAACAATGTTCATATCAGGGGTGGAGTTCTACATGGACAGAAAAACGGTATGTTACGAACATCCCGCCATCACTATTACAAGAACCAGTGGGATCTGCAATCTATGCGAAATATTGATGTGCATGTAGTGACTTCATCATGCCAATTCCCGTCATCTGACACAAGTACCGTACATAAATTGTTGCATTTGGGGATGATGTCTTGTTTTTTTTTCCCCTCCCCATTTATCCTCCATGGATACACAGTCATAAGAATGAATTCTTTGTAAACATTCTGTAGGCCCACTTATTGCAAGCCTACCTCTGCATTAAAACTGTTTGAAATAAGCAACCATTTGCCATTTTAACATTAAATGGTTGAGAAAAAGATGTTACATCATTCTAGAATTTGTTTTTATCCACTCACTTTTTTGCTGAATAAGATATAGATCTTTTAATTTTGGGTGGCAGAGCAAGAAAAAGCAAGAACTGACAATATATTTCAACCCTAGAGACAAACTGTTTGGTACAGGAACATCAGTAATGGGAGCCAAAAATAAATAGACCACAGTCCAAACTGGATAAAAGTAATCACTGCTGGCCTGCGAGCCCTGATAGGCTTGCTTGGACCAGAAGCACCTGTGTATATACGTGCTCACATAAACACAAACATATTTATTGTCTTCACATGCTGCCACTATATCTCACTGTAACACTGAGTGGTATTTTTGAAATAGTATCACTATTGGGGAGGTGAAGGATATGTTTACCAGTCTAGAGAGAAATATAAGAATGAGATCTGAAGAAAACATTGCAGAGTATGTGGGGATGTAATGGATTCTCCATATCTGGGACAGAGTTTGTAAATCCAACTCAAAATTTTACATACATCGAAAATTACATCACAAACCAGCTCAGATGATAACATGTAGTCATCAAAGAATGTCTTTAGAAATGCTGCACCAACAAAAATGTGTAGAAGAATATGATGGGGGAAGAGTAGGATGGCTATGATTTATATAATAACTTAAGAGGTTTGAAGAAAATATGACAAGATTCTAATGTAATACAGCAGGAGGAATCTTGTAAAAGTTTAAAAGGGGAGAAATAGTTTGAAAAATGACTGACAGAATAAGAGTTAATATACTGATTTATGAAGCTCACTTGAAAGTCCCACAGAACCTTTCCAAAAACAGCCACTGCAGTGCAATTTTAATTTAATTTAATTTAATTGGAAATACATATGGAAAATCATAAAGTAAATAAGATTTAGGTGTTCACCCTTCTCAACTATTTGTCCTACAGTATGACTCCTAATATAAAGTCCAAAATCCAATCACAGTTCACACCTCTGTTATACAAAATGGGTATTAGCTGACCTTGATGATCCAACAAGGCTAGCCAGAGTGTTATCTCACTAGTACTTTGATGATAGGGAATTTTATGTACAGGCTAGTCTAGGAAGTTGAAAAAATTCTAGAAGAAGACCACTACCTCCACAAACCTCTTCTGTGTTGTTGCTATGAAAATTACATGGACATGACTATAAAGTTAGCAGAAAGTGAGCTCAGTTTGAGGGAGACCTTATCTGTACCATATGGCATTTACTGAATAAATAGTAAAATGCAGGATCCAATCTGGGTTGATCACTGGGATCAGAGAATTAGTCTTCCGAACTTTAAGACTCGTGGCTGGAGCCCATCTTCAGGGAACTTGTCTCTAGCAAAACTTCTCTAACATTCTGCTGAAAGAAGTTCCCTGAAGATGGGTCCAGTATGAGTCCAAAAGCTTGGAGGACTAAACCTTTAGTTCCTGTGACTGACCCAAATTGGATCCTGCATTGTTATCCTAGGACAGGACCCTTCATTTGTGAAATAGTAAAATCCTGTTGAAACGATGCTTCATGATGTCCAGTTAGATGTTTTAACAGCATGAGAGATACTTGTACAGGGAAAAGACTGAAATAATCACAATAAGAGTCACAGACACCCTTTATTTTTCACCAACGTTTTTACCATGTTCTCCTGCCAGGGTCATCAACAGATGTTTGTCGTTCTCATTAGGTTTGTTTAATGAGATCAACCATTGCCCCTGCAATCCATTGTCATATCTGGAGAAGGCATCCTCCATCAGGGCCAGCAACCGGAGGCCTCTCTCCACTCGGAACTCTTCCTATAGCAACAAATATCTGTTAGTCGCCTAAGTAAAAACAAACAGATCTCATGAATACACATTTTCTCAAACAAATACAGTATATCAAAGAAAAAAAGATCTTCTAAAAGCCAAGATTTTGAAAGGTATCCATTTCCATTTTACTCTATCAACTTTATTGATCAAAATGCATGTTCATGTAATAGTTCCATCCTAACTGCTACCATTCTTGAATTTTGTCATTTTCTGACTGTTACCAACCAGTTGTAGTTTATGTAAGCACACAATACAATTAAATTCATTTTTTATCAGCTGGTCATATAACTTGGGGATCAAGATGAGTGGGAGATTATCATTTAAAATTCAGGGAGGAACAAAAAATTCTTCTCTTTGGAAGTATCCTGAAACCTCACTTCCTTATTTGTTTCAAATATAGACAAAAATGCAAAATTAATAGTCTGGAGGTCCTGAAGGTAACACATAAGGATCTGACAAGATGCCGCCTTGATTGATGATAGAAGGATATATCTACCTACATCACTATTGCAATCTTTGGAGGAAAGAAAAAACACGCAGAATTAATAATGTTTTAAAGCGCAAGAGTCTAATCATTTGTACCCAGACTGCAGGTCAGACAGAGACGGTCCTGTTCTTCTAAGATCTTGCACATCAATTGGCAATGTCATCCCCACATCTATTCTGGCTCAGTTGCCGTGCCAACTCAAAGGCCACTCTAGTTATTAATATGTGCTAACACTACTAGTTGCTATGGGAACCTCAAATGCTTGGGGCTGGCACAGGCTGAATGGGGAAAGACAAGGAGGAGCCAGATCTGAGTCACAAGGACCCACTAGAACCTCAGCTCACAAGGCAAAGCTTATGAACAGCAGAAGATAAAAATCTGGGATAGCAGAGCAAGAAAGCCCCCTACCCCTAAAGGAAAGGAAATTAGGAAAGCAGCGTTACTAGTATACAAACTCTGGACCACACCAGCAGAATTATTGCAGAAATGATAGGTCTCCCTCCATCAGCACAGACTGAGCAGTCAGAGCCTTATGGGGAGCAGAGAAAAATGTGTTCCTGAGAGAAAAATAACATTTCCATTGATATGACTGGACAGAAAAATACCACCCCTTTTCGATAGAACTTGATGAATAAATGGCAAGTGCATCTTTCTTCCAATCTCTTTTCCATTTCTGTAATTCAGAAATGTCAGTATAAATAATGTAACACAAGGAGAGCTCAAAGAACTATCTTTCGTCATGATACAAAGTAAAAGACTTAATGAAAATGCCTATAATTTCTTTTACCATTATGAGTATATGTGATAGAAGAAAAGTTACATTCCATCAAGTTACTCAAAGTACAAACACTCCACCTTTTAAATATTTTTGAATCATACTGCATTGGCAGAAAAAAATGGATGCAAAGCATGATCTCTTAATGCATTGTGCAGTAATCTGTTTTGGGTTTTAGCTGGCAAGACCAGATTTATTTTATGATTATTATATGCCATTTCTTATTTCCTTGATTGTCTCTGACATACATCTTTTTAAAGCTAATGAACATGTTTATTTTTATCGGTCTTGGAACACTGAAACATCCCAATATCTCATTAAGCCCCCATTTGAATATAACTGGTGCCATTTTAGCTACCTAAAGATCAAAATTGCACTGGCAGTATATCTGATATGCCTGTAAGCCCTAATGAAACCCAGTTTAGACAGGACCTAATGAAACCCAGTTTAGACAGGACCAGAACAGCCCTAATGAAACCCAGTTTAGACAGGACCAGAATCCTTAATTTGTTTCTTTGGTTATTTTAAATATTTATATACTGCCTTTCTTTAAAAATGAAGCTATTTATAAAATTGATTTATGTAGCTCATTGTTCAATCTTCCCATATATTACATCATTTCACATAAGACATTTATGGGGGGACTCTTAAACTAGAATATTTTTCCAAGATAAATATAATAAAAATGCAATTAAAAAAGTTTTTACATTTCACAGGCATGATTCCCAAATTGATTGTATGCCATCAAGTTCCTGACAATTCTTACCAACCATCTACACAGATCTTCTGCAGGATGATCGTCCCTAACCTAGCCCTTCAAGTCTTCCAATACTGGACCCAATCTGGATCAGTCACCGGCACCAGAGGTTTAGTCTTCCAAGCTTTCAGACTCGTGCTGGAGCCCATCCTTTTCCAAAAGTGTACACATCACCATAGTAATTTAATCCATTTAAGTAATTTAAGTCTTGTTCGGCTGCTTCCCAATTATTTACTGAATAAACGTAGTGCTGGTGGTTCCCCTGGAAGACTGAGGAGGAGAAATTGGATACTGACGTGTACTGTAGAGGGCAGAGGATGGTACTGAAGGACAGTGGGAATACCCATTAGCAAGACAATGATCAGACAAGTATAGCTTAAATCCATTTCAAGAAATGAATTTGAGGAAGCACCTCAGACAGGCTCCCTACCTAATTCACACATTGATAAGGTGAGGGAGAAACAAAGCACATTCAGACTTGCAAGATTCTTTTTATCCCAGCTATCTTAATAAGAAATGGTTTCTTAGTCTGGTCTACCTTATATGGCTGACATGTACCTCTTTCCTTTAGGTGCATGGAATTCTATACAATTTTATTTTTTGATGTAATGGTTCAGAATGTAATGCAGAATTAAATAAGCATTTATTGTACTCACTAGGTAAATGTCATACTTGGGTCATACTTTTGGGTCCAGTTCAAGGTGCTGCTTTTAATCTCTAAAGGTTAAGACCCTTCATGGGATAGGGTTGGATTATCTGAGGGACTGCCTCTCCTCAATTTTATCTACCCATCCCAACGGATTTGGTAGCAAAGGCATGCTATGGTCCTGTCTGGTAGGGAACTATACATGGCAAGTCCCAGGAGGTGAGCCTTCTGTGCTGTGGGAACATTCTTCACTACCCTCCCCAAAGTGAGATTAGCTCCAGCCAATGTTTCAGAAGTCCCTCAAGACCTGGCTATGCCATTAGGCCTGGGGTCCCAGGGAACCAGTGACATTCTATGATGGTTCCATTATTGTGTTTGATGTTCATTCTCTCTTGTGCCTTGTGGATTTTTTGTATGATAACAATGACTGTTCTATATAATTGCTTTAATTGATGTACGTTACCTAGAATCACTTCATGTGAGATGAATGGCCATATAATTTTTTTATAAATAAACACTTTATCTGTTGTAGAGTAGGATGATTGTTTGCATCCTCAACCCAATTAAGCTTGAGAGACAGATATTCCTTCCCTTGCATCTGTAGAACCTGTGACCCACTTCTGCTGGGTTACAAACAGAGCAATACAATACATGTTCAGCATGAGCAGATTTCTCCTTCACCACAGATATAATTATCCCTCCATGACTTATGTATACTGAAGAATGTCTAAATTTGTTCTTACTCAATCACCACCATTTGATTATTAAATCTTTTGAACTAAATCTGTTTAATTCCAGCCATCCAAACCCATAAAAAGTATCTCCCTCATTTGTCAACAATTTAAACTCCAAGAAACACTAAATACTGAAATGGCTGACTTGTCGGTCTAAATAATGTCTGGAAATTTGCTGGATAGCTTATCAATTAAGGAGAGCAAATAACCTGTTGCATTTTCTAGGTCCTGCTGTGCTATGCTGCTGTCGGAAAAGAAAAAAAAATCTCTATTTCCCTCCTTCCTGTTCATTATATTAAGAAACAGAAAACATTTCGTCCTCTTATATGCCTTAACTAAGAAACTAGAACAAGAAAACAGCTTCTGCCAATGGAAACTACCTATTTAAACTGCCTGTCTCCAAACTGGAAGAAAGATATAACTCTAAAGCCTACAGTGCCAATTGCTAAAACTGCAGGTAGTTTACCAGTCTATCAGCAAACTTCTCATCAAGTTCTAATCTATACAGCTATCTGAATTCCATATCTGGGTGTCTCCTTTTTTTCTGAAAAATAGGAAAAGGCAACTTATAAAATAAGTTTCATTTAATGGGAGGGAGCACATTTAATCTACCCCAACAGTCTAAATCTCTCTCTTGAGTCAGATCCAGATCCTCCCATCCTAAATTTAGTACCCTAAATTGATACTATATGTGCAGGAAAAAGGAATATTTAATAACAGCATCTTAGTTAAGGGTATTATATTAGCAATCTGTCCAGAAATATTATATAAAAACTTTATCCAAACTTCTTTATGTGCACATATTTATAATTGTTTAAGAAATATTACAGCCATATTTTGTTAAAATGCTTCAGGATCTGCAGTAATGGAACACTATATATAAATATATGAAATGAATAAATAAATGGCCAGTGTGGCAGGAGACGTATTTTAAATGAATATTCAAAATATTGCTCTTGATGATGAAATAGCATTTTACTACTTTCTGGAAATAACAAACCACTTTCATTAAGCATTATTGAAAGGGAGGGGAAATTGTAGATGACAGAACCAGAGATTTAAATATAGAAGCAAGTGACTCACACAATCAATGTTATCTGACATGTTCAGGATGATGTAGTTTTTGCTTGCCAGGTTGTTCCAGTCCTTACAGATAATCTACAAAACAAAACCAATGAAGACACCTCTGAGTTAACATGGAAATATTTTGGGAAACAGCATAATCATTTTTTTAAAACAAATATGACGTTTTATCCCAAATCAGACAACCAAATGTTTTATCCCTTATTTTACACTCTACCTGGTAGCATATTTCTCAGATTTGATGCTGATATTCAAAGAAGTAGACACAGTAGATGAATCTGAGAACAAGGGCCACTGTGGTTCCAAAGTGCTCAAGAAACTAAGACATGGATCAATAAGATAGGTGCGTAAAATTCAAACTAAATTTTGGGCCACTGTAAGGGAAAATGATCTCCATTGGACATATTGTATCTGAAGTCCAAGAAAATGACTTAAACAAACTGGCATACACAATATATGTGTTCAAAGTTTTGTTTGAGAACTGACAAACAAGCACAATGTTTGTGCTAGTAATAGTCAATCCATATACAAATTAAAAATGAACTGAGTTATGCATCTAAAACAAACCTTTGGGGTGAAATCTCCAAGAATGCACTATATATTAGCTAGCTGATACAATACTTTCTTGAGTGTGAAACACTTCTATACCAGTACCATATAAATAATATAGTACATATAGACATATTCCTATATGCTGTGTAGCACTTTGTTGGAACTAAATTCAATGTGTTGCCTACTCCGTTGTTCTAGGTCAGTGGTGGCGAACCTATGGCACGGGTGCCAGAGGCGGCACTCAGAGCCCTCTATGAGGGCACACACGCCATCGCCCCAGTCCTAGGCCTTCAGCTGGGTTTTATAAAACCTTTTCGCTTTAGGCCTCCGCCGCCATGTGCAAAAAAAAAAAAAGTTCAATCAGTCAATTTCAACTTCTCGCGGAAAAAAAAAAGATCTTGCAAAGTTGGAATTGATTGATTGAACTTTTTAGTCCCACACAGTCTGCTGTTACCACCGCAGCCATGCCCACCCAATGGGTCACACACCCCCAATTGGCCACACTCACCCAATTGGCCACACCCAGCCAATGGGCCACGCCCACCCGGCACCCGACAATGCATAAATGGGTTTTGGGTTGCAGTTTGGGCACTCGGTCTCTAAAAGGTTCGCCATCACTGTTCTAGGTATGTATATATATCTCATTCTTTCTCCAAGATCAGGTTATTTGAACCTTTAAATATATAAATCTCACCAAAAGAACATCAGAAGAATAAACACTTAATTCAGAGTTGGTCTTCATAGTATCACAATTACAATTAAAAAAAAAAGAATGTCTGAGAAAAAAATAAAAATACTTCAAATATCTTGAGAATCAGTTCAGTTAATTTAAAGATTAATAAATTAAATAGATCAATTAATACAATAAACCTATTAAAAATCTAAAAAAATCTGGCAAGTTTTGCTCCTATGTAATGAAACAAAACACATTCAACTGTATCAAAACAGTTGACATGCCTACAGAAGTCTTACTGTTAAATTTTTTTATTCAAACTTTTAAGAATTCTAGAATTACTGTTTCGTACTTTAAGCAGAAATGCTAAGCTGTCATTACTAGGCTATTCTAAATATATGAGTTTTAGCGTGGTTTTGAAAAATGTATCTCAATTACTCTAAACTAAAACTTGATAGTTTATTATTCAAGTAATTAATTACTCAATGAAGATTTCTTTTAAAATTGTTTTACTATATTCAGGGCTATTATAACATTTGCAGTATATTGATTTTCACATTTGTTTTATTCATATTATCATATATACCCACCTTGAGAGGATTTGAGCCTTAAAGATAACCTGGAAATTAATTTTCAATTAATCAGTTTTAAACCCCTTTATAGGAAAAATGTTACAGCTTTTTAAAATAGGATTTTGATCCTGCACATCTATGGCACTTTAGTACTATAATTCTGGTTCATGCTTGTGTCAGTTATGAAAATAACCACCTGTAAAGAAATTAACAGGCAGATCACACTGGATGAAGAATGTAAATAACATAAAACAAGGTTAAATGGTTTATTTGTTTTCTCCCAGCCTTTAAAAACACAGGAGTTTCTAAGTTTAAATACTCATCACTCAATGGCCCACACACAATTTTCTTACCTGTGTCAAACTCCAGGGAACTCCTGAGGCAAGCAGGAGATCTCTGTTTTGTGCTGTATAGCTCTTTTCTGCTGCAGCTGTTGTGATGAGTGGCACTTTTGTATCCTGACTATTCTGATTAGCAGTTGGAGTTGGGGTTCGTCCGCTGGTCCAGTCCCAAAAATGCCCCAAAGAGCTGGGATCTGATAGGCTGTTAGGAGTCCTGGAAACAGTCTCAGTTACTTGGAAATTGTCCTCATGAGAACCTATGAGATCTTCTCTTGTCAGTTCCCTCTCAGCTGCAATTGTTCCTGCTACAGGTTTTGAAACCTCCTCATGTGTTGTGGCTTTTCCTTCTGGTAGATCACCTTCTACTGCAGCTACTGTTGCTAACTGTTTCCCTGCTATTTCTACTGCAGCCACTGAGCTCTCTTGGGTAATCTTGGGAGAAAGTTCTGAGACCAACTGGGGGTCTGTAGTAGTGTCAGTTGAAAAGATGGGAGACAAGGGCAGGAGACTGGGTCCCATGCTGCTTCCTAGGTCAAAGCCTGAAGAGGAATACTCAAGCGCAGATTCTTTCCCATGCTTGTTCGTAGCTGGATCCATTCTGCTGGCCATGGTGGAAAACAGGATAGAATATAAAGAATCCTCTGTAGGTGTTTCAGAAAAAGTGGTTTTTGACATTTGCCTGCTTTGAGTCATTCCCTTTGACTGGTTGATAGGAAGCAATCCTTCCTCCTCTTCCTCAAGGACTCCGGTGGAAGGGGCTTCGGAGTCTAGATCAAGGGAATCAGATACGGGATGAAAAGTGGGGCCTTCTTGGGCATCTTTCACTTGTGTTCCATTTTCTTTGGGCAAGGCTTTTTGAGAAGCACGTGGAAAACTGTAATCTGGAAATAAAAAGAGCGGGTTTCCTTGAATCACATAGCACAGTGGTGGCGAACCTATGGCACGCGTGCCAGAGGTGGCACTCAGAGCCCTCTCTGTGGGCACGCATGCTGTGCCCCGGAGATGGCAAGGGACTGGTCCCCGCCACCCTGGCCCCGCCCACCCAGTCTGCTATGACCACCAGGACCACGCCCACCCGGCACCCGGTGATAAATAAGTGGGTTTTGGGTTGCAGTTTGGTCACTGGGTCTCTAAAAGGTTCGCCATCACTGACATAGCAGAAATCCCACAAACAGCCCCTCTTAAAAAAAATATCTGGAAAAAAATAAGCAATTTATGCTTTTTCATGACACTGCAGGAAGACATTTCATTCAAAGTCAAGAGTAGTCCTAGAAATAGGAACATCCCCAACTACTCCATTTATTTCTAAGAAAAAAGTCAAGATACTTAATATGTTATTTTATCCTTTGTTCTTTTTAACCTCAGTTTCTCCTTCTGCCTCTCTAAATATACTTCAGCATTTTTCCCCAGCTCCTTCTGGCAAGCCTTCCCTATGAAATTTCATCTTAGTCAATTTTCTAAAATGCCTCTTTTGATCTACAGCACTAGCTACTACTCACAAATCAAACCTTTCCAAGTCATGTGTACATGCACATTTTATTTAATCCACACTAGGCACACACACCCTTGCTATTATATTTTATCCTATCTCATATACTCTCTAGGATAGGGGAAGCATTCTCTGCTTATAATACAAAGCATACTGATCATATTATTTAAAGGCTGAATTTGCTCATTCCGCTAACCTATATTTTGTTTAATAATGGTTTATGGATTAAACAAAAACTGCCTGCATTTACACAATTTACTGAAGCATAAGCTCTATTTTACAAACCACAGTGGGTTGGATTCACACATACTGGGTGAAAAATAAGCAAACCACATGTCGGTTCGGTATGAGATGTGAGCCCAGTCTATGAATTACCACAGTTGTATGCAGCCTGTAGAAAAAGAGTCATGTTATTAGGGAACAATTTTTAACACACTGTCTTAATGACACCTACACATTCATTTGCGTACTAAGCTATATTTTCCTAAGAAAATATGTAACAGTAGTACCAGTAATGTGTTTTAAAGATTGCATCCTCACAGTTCATAGTGAATACCTGAGTATTTGGTGTAGAAAGGAATTTCTTTATTTTACATTCATTCTGCATGCCTGGTTCTTGATGTGCAACTGATAATGATGCAGCATTTTCATAGCAGATGAGTATACTCTCAGGCTACTCCATGGGCAGAAGGAACAGCCTGCAGAGCCCATTTTCCACCTGATAGATTAATGTACTCATGTTCTTAAGAGTGAAGGTATCTCGTATGGAGAGATGGCTAAAACTTAAAAATACACCCTCTTGATTTTCATATCTGTATATTGTTCTCACAGGTATTAAGTGTCTCTCTTCCAAGAAACACAAAGGTAGACGAGTAAACCTTTGAATGAATGGGGGGGGTGGTAAGCTTTAACTGACAGGAATGTATAATGTGGAGGGTAAAATCTCTCCCTAGCCCCGTTAAGAAAATAAAGATTAAAAAAAATAGAATAAATGGACAATATGCAGAACTTGATTTCATTTCTGCTCTCAGCAGCATTCTCATTATTTATCTCCTTGATATTATGTTACTGAACTGAGGCTACAATGTTGAAGTCACACCTCAGAAATCAAAGCCAATAACTCCAGGCCATTATTGTCCAACTTCACTAAATATAAGGGGGGAAAGTATTATACATTAATACCAAATGCTTATTTGTTATATGGCAGCCCATATCAAACAATTGACTCTGGATGGCAAGCAATCATATAATTAATTAAGAACAAACTACAAGCACAATACAAAAGAAAATTAAATATACAGCAGCTGATAAAATTATAATCCATTGATGTTAACATAACCAGGAAACAAAACTCTTACACCCTCAGGATCCCAGGCCTGGGCACATAGCCAAATCTTCAAGGCATAACAATAGGCCAACAGGGTTGATACAAACAGACCAACAAGTATTGGAACACATAACACTAGACGTATCATTGGAAGGAAAAATCACAAATTTGTGTCTCACTTATTTTGGCCATGTCACGCGGGGGAATTCACTGGAGAAAGCAATTATGTTTGGAAGAGTTATCGATAAAAGGAAACCAGGCCGCCAAAAACCAGAATGGCTGGAGTCCATCAAAGTTGACATCAGCCAGAGCACAGAAAAACTGAAAGAAGTAGTGCAAGATCGGAAGATGTGGAGAGACTTGGCCCATAGAATCACCAAGAGTCAGACATCACTGAATGGATAACATCGTCATCATCAACACGGCTGAGGCCATCCTAATCTCTAGATTGTCCCAGAGAGCAAGCACTATGGCAGAAAGGCAGGCCTCCTCGTCCCTGCTAGCTGACATTCCTTGGCAGATGGGACCTGCACAGGGCCAGCCTGCTGGACCAAATTGGATGGGTGGAAACAACTGGGAAAAGACAGACCGGAGGTAACCCCACCCCAAGTCATGAAGGGCTTTAAAGGTGATACCAGCCTCTTGAATTGCACCCGGAAGTACACCTGATAGCCAGTACAGTGCACATAGCAGTGGTGTCACATGTGTCAAATATCAAACACCATTTACTACTCGAGCAGCCACATTCTGCACCAGTTGAAGCTTTCAAATGCTCTTCAAGGGCAAACCTATGCAAAATGTATTGCAGTAATCCAGATGGGAGGTCACGAGGTTGTGAGTGACAGTCAACAAAACAGTGCATAATAAAAAACTAATAAATAAAAATATTAAAAAGTACAGTTAAAAAGACATCAAGCAACATTACTAATAACAAGATAGTAGAGAAAAATTGGTGTTAACACAATGCAGCTTTCTCATTAGATCATCATTTCCTTCAGATCCTCAAGGCTGCTGACACAACCATGTTTTGAGGGACTTCCAGAAGAGTATCAAGGATGTGGCCAATCTCCCCTTGGGGAAGACGATGTTCCACAGGGTGGGTGCCCTGGCCCATTGCCTGGATCCTACCAGATGAAACATTTTCTCAGACAGGACCTCTTCTACCGGGCCTGGTAGGATAGGCAAATGTAACTGGGAAAAGATAACCCTTCCAATAACCTGGCCCCCAAGCAACGAAGGGCTTTAAAGGCCAAAATCAGCATCTTGAATTGGACTCAAAAGCAAATTGGCAACCAATGCAACTCCTGGAGTAGAGGTGTAACATGTGCTGTTTTAGGGGCAGGCGTAAAACTCCCTGTGCTGCTGAATTCTGCATCAGATGAAGCTTCTAGATACTCTTCCATGGCAGCCCCACGTACAGCACATTATAGTAGTCTGCCCAGGAGGTGGCCAGAGCATGAGTGATTGGGTGCAGAACCTTTCAGTTCAGGTGCACAATATGAAACTGTGCAAAAACCCTCCTAGCCACAACTGTCACCTGCTTTTGAACAGAGTGGTGAGTTTAGGATAACCCTCCAAAGTTGCATACCAGTTCTGTTTGGTGGAGTGCAACTTCACCCAATATCAAAGATGGAATAGTCCCTGAGCCAGAGGGCCCCAAAACCCAGAGCTTCTTAGTCTTGCCAGGGTTCAGTTACCTATCCAGACCCCCATAACCTCCGGTCACTGGGATAGGACATAAACAGCATCGCTTAATTCAGCAGGAAAAGAATTTGTTCAGATGGTTTATTAGCTAAACTCAGGTCAAAATCTTAGGTCATGACTAAGGTCAGAGCATTGGGATTTATGCAATAGTTCACATCTATAAGATGGCACCAGAGCTCCTGATAATTCTTAACTATTTGATCTTCCATAGAAGGGCATGGAAGTACATTAATCAGGAAAATTAGTAATTAACTGTTGAAAAGGCAAAGAGCAACATTTTTGTGCCCAGTGAAAAGTGTAAATATTATAAAGAGGATGCAGGTATGACTAAATTAAAGAGTGGCTGCAAATGAATTATTTTGTTCAATTACTTTATCCTGGACTTCTTTCTCAGTCTACCTATTTGCTATTTCCTTTCTCCTGCTTAAGGTTTTATGTTAGATTTTTAATCTCGCCTTTATTATTTTTATAAATAACTCAGAGCAGGGAATATATCTAATACTCTTTCCTCCTCTTATTTTCCTCACAACAATAACCCTCTGAGGTAAATTGGTCTGACAGAGAGATTGGCTGGCTTAAAATCACCCAGTTGGATTTCATGTCTAAAGTGGGACTAGAACTCTAGTTTCTAGTCTGATGTCTTAACCACTAGACCAATGCTCGAAAAGATATTAAAGGAAATACACAAATTAGACACAATGGCACACTAGTTAATAAGGTCCAGAGAAGTCTGCCCTATACATAACAAAGATAACATGTTTATTTTGCTTGAATCTTTGTAGTTAATAGCACTTCATTAACATATAGCAAAACAATATCTTTTGGCGACAATTATAGCCAAGTATCTATTTCTAAGAAAAAAGAGTAATAGTTCTGTATGATAGCAACCATGTATAGATGCCTGAGATATGTTTCCATATGATATTTGCTTGACACAGCAACAAAGCATGAGAGTAACAGTAGTAGAATCAGATAAAACATTATCAATTGGTAAGCAGCAAGTTTAATGTGAAATTGTGGAAATACATCATAACAATTGCATTGTGGGGCCCTTGGTGTCCTCAGAGCTTGATCGTTCTCTTGCAACTGTTTCATTACCAAACTGATGATATTATCTAGTTTGGTAAAGAAACATCTGCAAGAAAACCACCAAGCACAGAGAGCACCAAGGACCTCACAGTTCAACCCCAAGCTACAAATATTCTCTTCTCTCAGTAATAATTGCATTTCTAGTACTTAACTTACACAATTCATTGTCATAAAATGCAATCAACTCTAATTAAGAAGATTTTTTTTTAAAAAAGGGATACGAATAAGCAGCTTATTACCTGTTATATTTGAACAATTAAGTTAAATGGTAT